ATGCTTGTGTCCGGACGCATGCTTGTGTCCGGACGCATGCTTGTGTCCGGACGCATGCTTGCGTTCGGACGCATGCTTGTGTCCGGACGCATGCTTGTGTCCGGTCGCATGCTTGTGCCGGACGCATGCTTGAGTCCGGTCGCATGCTTGTGTCCGGATGCATGCTTGTGTCCGGACGCATGCTTGTGTCCGGACGCATGCTTGTGTCCGGACGCATGCTTATGTCCGAACGCATGCTTGTGTCCCGTCGCATGCTTTTGTCCGGACGCATGCTTGTGTCAGGACGCATGCTTGTGTCCGGACGCATGCTTGAGTCCGGTCGCATGCTTGTGTCCGGACGCATGCTTATGTTCGGACGCATGCTTGTGTCCGGTCGCATGCTTCTGGCCGGACACATGCTTGTGTCCGGTCGCATGCTTCTGGCCGGACGCATGCTTGTGTCCGGACGCATGCTTGTGTCCGGTCGCATGCTTGAGTCCGGTCGCATGCTTGAGTCCGGACGCATGCTTGTGTCAGGACGCATGCTTGTGTCTGGACGCATGCTTGTGTCCGGTCGCATGCTTGTGTCCAGACGCATGCTTGTGTCCGGTCGCATGCTTGTGTCCGGACGTATGCTTGTGTTCGGACGCATGCTTGTGTTCGGACTCATGCTTGCGTCCGGACGCATGCTTGTGTCCGGACGCATGCTTGTGTCCGGACGCATGCTTGTGTCCGGTTGCATGCTTGTGTCCGTACGCATGCTTGTGTCCGGACGCATGCTTGTATCCGGACGCATGCTTGAGTCCGGTCGCATGCTTGTGTCCGGACGCATGCTTGTGTCCGAACGCATGCTTGTGTCCGGACGCATGCTTGAGTCCGGTCGCATGCTTGTGTCCGGACGCATGCTTGTGTCCGGACGCATGCTTGTGTCCGGACGCATGCTTGAGTCCGGTCGCATGCTTGTGTCCGGACGCATGCTTGTGTCCGGACGCATGCTTGAGTCCAGTCGCATGCTTGTGTCCGGACGCATGCTTGTGTCCGGTCGCATGCTTGTGTCCGGACGCATGCTTGTGTCTGGACGCATGCTTGAGTCCGGTCGCATGCTTGTGTCCGGACGCATGCTTGAGTCCGGTCGCATGCTTGTGTCCGGACGCATGCTTGTGTCCGGACGCATGCTTGTGTCCAGTCGCATGCTTGTGTCCGGACGCATGCTTGTGTCCGGACGCATGCTTGTGTCCGGACGCATGCTTGAGTCCGGTCGCATGCTTGTGTCCGGATGCATGCTTGTGTCCGGACGCATGCTTGTGTCCGGACGCATGCTTGTGTCCGGACGCATGCTTGAGTCCGAACGCATGCTTGTGTCCGGACGCATGCTTGTGTCCGGACGCATGCTTGTGTCCGGACGCATGCTTGTGTCTGGACGCATGCTTGTGTCTAGTCGCATGCTTGTGTCCGGACGCATGCTTGTGTCCGGACGCATGCTTGTGTCCGGACGCATGCTTGTGCCCGGTCGCATGCTTGTGTCCGGACGCATGCTTGTGTCCGGACGCATGCTTGTGTCCGGACGCATGCTTGAGTCCGGTCGCATGCTTGTGTCCGGACGCATGCTTGTGTCCGGACGCATGCTTGTGTCCGGACGCATGCTTGCGTTCGGACGCATGCTTGTGTCCGGACGCATGCTTGTGTCCGGTCGCATGCTTGTGCCGGACGCATGCTTGAGTCCGGTCGCATGCTTGTGTCCGGATGCATGCTTGTGTCCGGACGCATGCTTGTGTCCGGACGCATGCTTGTGTCCGGACGCATGCTTATGTCCGAAGGCATGCTTGTGTCCCGTCGCATGCTTTTGTCCGGACGCATGCTTGTGTCAGGACGCATGCTTGTGTCCGGACGCATGCTTGAGTCCGGTCGCATGCTTGTGTCCGGACGCATGCTTATGTTCGGACGCATGCTTGTGTCCGGTCGCATGCTTCTGGCCGGACACATGCTTGTGTCCGGTCGCATGCTTCTGGCCGGACGCATGCTTGTGTCCGGACGCATGCTTGTGTCCGGTCGCATGCTTGAGTCCGGTCGCATGCTTGAGTCCGGACGCATGCTTGTGTCAGGACGCATGCTTGTGTCTGGACGCATGCTTGTGTCCGGTCGCATGCTTGTGTCCAGACGCATGCTTGTGTCCGGTCGTATGCTTGTGTCCGGACGTATGCTTGTGTTCGGATGCATGCTTGTGTCCGGACGCATGCTTGCGTCCGGACGCATGCTTGTGTCCGGACGCATGCTTGTGTCCGGACGCATGCTTGTGTCCGGTCGCATGCTTGTGTCCGGACGCATGCTTGTGTCCGGACACATGCTTGTATCCGGACGCATGCTTGAGTCCGGTCGCATGCTTGTGTCCGGACGCATGCTTGTGTCCGAACGCATGCTTGTGTCCGGACGCATGCTTGAGTCCGGTCGCATGCTTGTGTCCGGACGCATGCTTGTGTCCGGACGCATGCTTGTGTCCGGACGCATGCTTGAGTCCGGTCGCATGCTTGTGTCCGGACGCATGCTTGTGTCCGGACGCATGCTTGAGTCCGGTCGCATGCTTGTGTCCGGACGCATGCTTGTGTCCGGTCGCATGCTTGTGTCCGGACGCATGCTTGTGTCTGGACGCATGCTTGAGTCCGGTCGCATGCTTGTGTCCGGACGCATGCTTGAGTCCGGTCGCATGCTTGTGTCCGGACGCATGCTTGTGTCCGGACGCATGCTTGTGTCCAGTCGCATGCTTGTGTCCGGACGCATGCTTGTGTCCGGACGCATGCTTGTGTCCGGACGCATGCTTGAGTCCGGTCGCATGCTTGTGTCCGGATGCGTGCTTGTGTCCGGACGCATGCTTGTGTCCGGACGCATGCTTGTGTCCGGACGCATGCTTGAGTCCGAACGCATGCTTGTGTCCGGACGCATGCTTGTGTCCGGACGCATGCTTGTGTCCAGACGCATGCTTGTGTTTGGACGCATGCTTGTGTCTAGTCGCATGCTTGTGTCCGGACGCATGCTTGTGTCCGGACGCATGCTTGTGTCCGGACGCATGCTTGTGCCCGGTCGCATGCTTGTGTCCGGACGCATGCTTGTGTCCGGACGCATGCTTGTGTCCGGACGCATGCTTGAGTCCGGTCGCATGCTTGTGTCCGGACGCATGCTTGTGTCCGGACGCATGCTTGTGTCCGGACGCATGCTTGCGTTCGGACGCATGCTTGTGTCCGGACGCATGCTTGTGTCCGGTCGCATGCTTGTGCCGGACGCATGCTTGAGTCCGGTCGCATGCTTGTGTCCGGATGCATGCTTGTGTCCGGACGCATGCTTGTGTCCGGACGCATGCTTGTGTCCGGACGCATGCTTATGTCCGAACGCATGCTTGTGTCCCGTCGCATGCTTCTGTACGGACGCATGCTTGTGTCAGGACGCATGCTTGTGTCCGGACGCATGCTTGAGTCCGGTCGCATGCTTGTGTCCGGACGCATGCTTATGTTCGGACGCATGCTTGTGTCCCGTCGCATGCTTCTGGCCGGACGCATGCTTGTGTCCGGTCGCATGCTTCTGGCCGGACGCATGCTTGTGTCCGGACGCATGCTTGTGTCCAGTCGCATGCTTGTGTCCGGACGCATGCTTGTGTCCGGACGCATGCTTGTGTCCGGACGCATGCTTGAGTCCGGTCGCATGCTTGTGTCCGGATGCATGCTTGTGTCCGGACGCATGCTTGTGTCCGGACCCATGCTTGTGTCCGGACGCATGCTTGAGTCCGAACGAATGCTTGTGTCCGGTCGCATGCTTGTGCCGGACGCATGCTTGAATCCGGTCGCATGCTTGTGTCCGGACGCATGCTTGTGTCCGGACGCATGCTTGTATCCGGACGCATGCTTGAGTCCGGTCGCATGCTTGTGTCCGGACGCATGCTTGTGTCCGAACGCATGCTTGTGTCTGGACGCATGCTTGAGTCCGGTCGCATGCTTGTGTCCGGACGCATGCTTGTGTCCGGACGCATGCTTGTGTCCGGACGCATGCTTGAGTCCGGTCGCATGCTTGTGTCCGGACGCATGCTTGTGTCCGGACGCATGCTTGAGTCCGGTCGCATGCTTGTGTCCGGACGCATGCTTGTGTCCGGTCGCATGCTTGTGTCCGGACGCATGCTTGTGTCTGGACGCATGCTTGAGTCCGGTCGCATGCTTGTGTCCGGACGCATGCTTGAGTCCGGTCGCATGCTTGTGTCCGGACGCATGCTTGTGTCCGGACGCATGCTTGTGTCCAGTCGCATGCTTGTGTCCGGACGCATGCTTGTGTCCGGACGCATGCTTGTGTCCGGACGCATGCTTGAGTCCGGTCGCATGCTTGTGTCCGGATGCATGCTTGTGTCCGGACGCATGCTTGTGTCCGGACGCATGCTTGTGTCCGGACGCATGCTTGAGTCCGAACGCATGCTTGTGTCCGGACGCATGCTTGTGTCCGGACGCATGCTTGTGTCCAGACGCATGCTTGTGTTTGGACGCATGCTTGTGTCTAGTCGCATGCTTGTGTCCGGACGCATGCTTGTGTCCGGACGCATGCTTGTGTCCGGACGCATGCTTGTGCCCGGTCGCATGCTTGTGTCCGGACGCATGCTTGTGTCCGGACGCATGCTTGTGTCCGGACGCATGCTTGAGTCCGGTCGCATGCTTGTGTCCGGACGCATGCTTGTGTCCGGACTGTGAAACTAACAGAACAGGAATGAATTGACTAAGTCAGAGTTGGGTACAAATACAACCCTAGCAAACTGTACCCCATAAGTGCTACCCCACTATAGCCTACAAACATGCATCAGCCATAATAATCTGACACACCCCCATAGGCAAAGTGGGGGAGAACAAGGGGTCACAAGACCAGTCAAGCAAAGCAAAGCAAAGCAAGCTCAGGGTGGATCACAAAGTCACCACACAGTCCGAGCACAAGAGCAGGGCCAGAGGCCAGTTCACATGCAGGAGTACAGACATATATATAACAAAGTACAAGTAAAGTCAAGAAGAGAGCAAGTGAGGCAAGACAGGTACAAGACCCAGCTGGGTACAAAAGCGCTGATGGTCACAAGGCGCAAGTGCCTTGGTGAACACATCAGCAGTGTTGGCCTCAGAGGCCACGTAAGCAAGTCGCAACTGACCACGCTGCTGCAGCTCACGAGCAAGGAAGTAGCGGAGAGCAATGTGCTTCGTTCTGTGCTCCAAGCGCTGCTCTCGACACAAGGCCAGCATGGCCTTGTTGTCTACGTACAGCACTGGAGGAGAACGAGGCGGCTCTCCAAGGTCGGTCAGCAGGTAGGTGAGCCAGCGAAGCTCCTGTGCAGCCATGGCCCCGGCGTAGATCTCAGCCTCACAACTGGAGCCGAGAACTGAAGACGAGCGAGTAGACCGCCACGAGACAGAACCGGAACCAAGGCTGAAGGTGTAACCCTGTGACGACCGCTGCGTAGCCTGGTCGTCAGCCCAAGAAGCGTCCGCGTGGCCGGTAAGGACCACTGGACTCCGCCCTCCAAGCACTAGCCCCATGCCCGACGTACTGCACAGGTAGCGCAATACCCTCTTCGCTGCAGCCATGTGCTCCGGTCTGTGTCTCCCAGGAGCAACATAGCGTGCAAGAATGCTCAGAGGGTATGCAAGGTCAGGTCGTGTGCAGGTCATCAGGTACATGAGGCAGCCAACAAGCTCTGCATACGGACCACTCGACTCTACGGACTCATCCGAAGGCAGAGCTGAGAGTGAGTGGCGAGTAGGCAGAGGAGTGGCCTGAGGCGAGGAGTACGTGAAGCCGAAGCGCTGAAGGACCTGCTGCACCATGTGTGACTGAGTCAGGGTAATGGTGCGACGTGCTCTGTCCCGAGTGATCTGCAAGCCAAGGTAGCTGCGCAGTTCACCCAGGTCTGTGCACGTGTGTCTCTTCAGCAGCTCGGACTTCACGTAGGCGAGTCCAGCAGTGTCCGCTGTGGCAAAGACCAAGTCGTCGACGTACACGAGGATGTAGAACGGCGGCAGGGAAGTGTCGGTGCGAAGAAACAGCGACGGGTCAGCAGTAGAAGGAGCAAACCCAAGAGCCGCAAGCGTAGTCCTCAGTGTGTCGTGCCACTCACGCGGTGCCTGGCGGAGACCGTAGACTGGCCGTCGGAGGCTCCACTGGGTGCCAGGAGGGAAAGTCCCAGTGAAGCCAGGCGGACGGCGCAGCAAGATCTCCTCGTGCAGGCTACCCTGCAGGAACGCAGTGCTGAAGTCGAGAGAGTGAAGCTCGTAGTCGCGCTGAGCGGCAATGTGCAGCAGCACCCGAAGAGTGGTCATCTTCGGGGTGGGAGAGAAGGTCTGAAAGTAGTCAACTCCCTGCCGCTGACTGAAGCCACGAGCCACGTAACGCGCCTTGAAGACAGGCGGGGAGCCCGGCGGCCGCTTCACCCTGAAGATCCACATGCCACTGACGATGTTCGCCCCAGGAGGGGGAACCGCGTCAACGTAGGTGCCTGTGGACTTCCAGGAAGCCATCTCTGCATCCATAGCTGCCTGCCACTGAGAGGAGTAGGGACCCTCTACGGCCTCCGCGTAAGAACGCGGAGTCGGGATGTCTAGTGCATCCGGGTCTCCCTCAGGGGCAAGCAGTACAGACGCGAGATGAGGTGAAGCAGCCGCTAGACACTGTAACTCCTCCTGCCTGTCCTCTAGGACGTCCGTGCCAAGGGCACACTCACCCCCGACGGACGGAGGACAGGCGGACTCAGACTCAGCGACAAGACGAGCAGCGTAGTCTAGACGACAGCGCGCAGCAAAGTCGACAAGCTCAGTGACAAGGGCAGACGCAGCAGACGACTCGAAGGAAGGGTCAGTGACAGCAGTAGCAAGGAGACGCGTGACAGTAGGACTGGCAGCACGAAGAGAGTCCGACTCCGGGTCGGCAAGAGCAGGAAGAGAGGAAGGAGGAGGAGAAGGCAAAGGGGCACGCAGAGGAGCAGTGGACGGACGCAGTGACATCCGGTGCGTGCCAGGGACAGGAGGAGGACGCTGACGCGACCCGCGACCACTAGCGCGCTCAGTACGAACAGGCGACGCAGGACGAGACGCAGGCTCACGACGCTCAGTAAGACCTCCAGTCGGACCAGCGTAGGGAGAAGGAGCAGGCAAAGGGGAGGCAGGCTGTAGCTGTGGCTGTGACCGAACAGGCTGTGGACCCTCTAAGGGAGCAGGAGGAGGTGCAAGACTAAGAACCTGCTGCAGGAGCGGAACGAAGTACGGTCGGGGCCGCACGGCGACACCAGAAACAGCAGGAACAGCACCAGCCACCCCGTCAGGAGCACCCACGCCAGCAGCACCTCCAGCAGCACCTCCAGAAGCTCCAGAACCCCCAGTAGCAGCACCAGGAGCACTGTCAGTCGGACCACCAGCGGCAGGCTCAGCGCCAACACCCTCAGCAGCACCAGCTCCAGGAGAACCCTCAGACCGAGCAGCTCCAGCACCCACAGTACGAGCACCGTCGGGACGCGCGGCAGCAGTACCTACTGCAGGCGAAGAACCACCAGCACCAGCAGCACGCCTCCAGCGCCTGGTAAACCACTCACGCAGCTCCTGTGGGGAGAGTGGCTCCCGGCGAGACGAAGCACCCCCAGGCACAGTACCCCCAGGCTCAGCACCCCCAGGCTCAGCACCCCCAGGCTCAGCACCCCCAGGCTCAGCACCCCTAGGCTCAGCACCCCCAGGCTCAGCACCCCCAGACTCAGCACCCCCAGGCACAGCACCCCCAGGCTCAGCACCCCCAGACTCAGCACCCCCAGGCACAGCACCCCCAGGCTCAGCACCCCCAGACTCCGCACCTCCAGGCTCAGCTCCCGCAGCAGCACCAGAGTCACCAGTGACCTCGACAGGCTCGACCGCGTCTACCTGGGACACACCTGAAGGGGCAGGACCCTGAGGGGGGAGGGGGACTACCGGGGGGGGACCTGGTACCAAGAAGAGCGGGGGAGGGGGGAGGGACGGAGTGCGGTAGGGGAAGAGGCGGTAGTAGGGTACCGACTCGTCGAACGTGACGTCCTGGGAGGACAGAACACGTCGAGAGGTGGGGTGGTAAAACTGCCACCCAGGGGCGTCGGGGGGGAACCCCAGGAAGACGCAGGGAGAAGCACGAGGGGACAGCTTGTCCGCAGTCAGGTCGCGAACAAACGCCCGAGATCCCCAGACCCGGAACGCCGACGCATCGCCAACCTTCCCCGTCCACAGCAGGGCTGGGGAGGTCTCCGGTCGAGAGACCCTGGGGTGGAGGTTGATCTGGTGCGCAGCGTACCTGACCGCAAACGGCCACAGAAAATGGGGAGCAGCTGCATGCATCATGGACGTACGAGCGACGTCCATGACCATGCCAATGCGGCGCTCAGCAATCCCATTCTGCTGTGGTGAGTCCGGAAGCGTGAAGGTCTGACGGATGCCTCGCGCACGACAGTAGGCACTCAGGAGGCCAGAGGAGAACTCTCCGCCTCTGTCCGAGTGCAGACGCAAAACAGGGAAGTCAGAGCCAAAGCTCCTCCGAAGCTGGAGACGAGCTGCGCGGATCCAGTCGATCAACACCGCAGTGACCTCACCCTTGCTGCGCAAAGGGAAGACTGTGGTGTAACGCGAGTAGTCGTCAACCACCAGCAGGAAGTAGCGCTCCTGACCCTGTCCACGGACGCGGGCTGGGCCCCACACGTCCATGTGAAGCGTCTGCAACGGGGCCTCTGTCGGAGGAAACTGGGAGGAGTGAGGGGCAGCACGCTGGCGCCCCTCGACACAGGGGACACAGGCAGGGCCAGGGCCCGGAGGAAAGGGAGGGAGGGACTGGGAAGACCAGACACAAGTACCCGTGAGGCCATGCCTCTGAGCCGGAGCAGAGAGGGGTGGCCAAGGCGGTGGTGCCAGAGGAGGGTCTCGTGAGACAGACGACGACACAAACAGGGGGCAGACTCAGGACCAGACCTGGACGCTGCAGAAAACACCTGACCAGACGAGGGGACCCTACCAGACGCAGTACCTGGAGGAGAAGTAGTGGTCAGTGTGTACAGGCTTGACCCTGGCCGACGTGTAAACGTAGCCAGGTGACGACCTGTATCCGCCTCCGTACAGTGGGTCACCCGCTGACGAGCAGGGGTGAACTGGTGGACACCTGCATCCTGGAGGTCAGCACCACTCACCAAGTTCGTCGAGAACGAGGGGAGGTAGAGACCAGTCAGGGTGCCAGAGGGGGCCGCCGGACACGGGAGGACAGTGGAGAAGCGAGACAGGACAGGTCCCCCAGAGGGGTCAGCCAGACGCAACCGGTCGACTCAGCGGCGTGAGAGTGGTGCGGTCCCTAAAGAAGGAGCGAGAAGCTCCAGAGTCAAGGGTGAAGGTGTGAGAGGCCGAAGCCGACACAGTACCTGAGAGGGCGGACTCACCAGCACCTGAGCGCACAGACGTACTGGCACCTAGAGCAGCAGCCTCACTAGTACCTGACGCGGCAGTACCAATGCCCGGGTCGGGCGGGAAACACCGGTAACAGTCATCCTCATCACTACCAGTCACAGCATACATAGCAGAGAGAATAGCATCAAAGTCAAGATCATAAATAGCTACTCCAGCCCTAGACAGCTCTCCCCAGCGGGGGATCTCAGCGGCCTCCGGAAACTGCTGACGCCAGGCGTCGGTCAGGCGGCCAAAGCAGCGACGGGCTGTGTGGGCGCCTCCACACCTCTCCCCTGCACGGTCACCGGTGCGAAGAACGTAGGGGCAGGGACCAAGCGCACCACCGCGCTGACGCTGCAAGTACCACTCACGGAGCTGCTGAGGGCCGGGGACGGTGCGAGAGCGCTGCTGCTGCTGCGGCTGCTGGTGCTGCTGCTGCTGCTGCTGCTGCTGCTGGCGCTGACCACCCCCAGAGCTGCTCCGCTGGGACGAGCCACTCCGACCCCCGCCTCCACCGCCACCCCCGCCTCCACCGCCACCCCCGTCTCCACCGCCACCTCCCCCACCAGGACCGTCGCTCCCACCGCTCCCACCGCCTCCTCCGCTACCACCTCCACCGCCACCTCCGCCTCCACCGCCGCCACCAGTACCTCCACTCCCGCCACCACCCCCACCGCCACCCCCACTCCCCCCTCCACCCCCACCGCCTCCTCCACCGCCCCCTCTAGCTCCACCCGCTCCCTTGCCCCCCTTGCCCTTGCCAGAGCGGCGTCTGCCGCTGGGGGCAGACGCCGCGCCGACCGACTCAAAACCAGCGAGGTCGGCCGCAGCGGCAGAGGCTACAGAGGGCAGCAGGGGGGAAGGACCACACCCCTCAAAGATGGGGGTGCGAGGGTCACCCCGAGAGGCCCCTACAGCGACAATACTCTTCTCAGCCGCTAGCAGGGACTCCTCAAGGAGGTCGACAGTGAGAGTGGTGGGACAGACAGAGAGAAACTGGTCCCTAACGACACGAAGGGACTCAGGGAGACGGGTGACGAGAAAGTAGAGAGTGATGTACATGGGAGGAGGGTTGGCAGCGCGGAACTCAGCAGGAAGGGCAGCGCGGTAGCGGGTGTCACTAGCGCGGAGGTGGGTAACGAGGTCAGCAACAGTGGGAAAGGAAGCGAGGTCAGGGAAGAGAAACGGTAGCATGAGGCGGCTAAGGGTAGCGGAGGAAGGAAGGGAGGAGTAGCGTGCAACTACAGCGTCGTACAAGGCCTGAGCGGTCTTGCACTGACTAAAGTGGGCACGCTTAGAGGAAGGGAGGTGGCGACGCACAGCAAGACGTGCAGCAGCATCGCGGGTCGCCCACTTGGAGCGAGCAGCAGAGTCAGCATCAGCAGGCGGGGCAGGGACAGTGCCAGAGACAAAGTCAAAGAGAGAGACCTCATCTATCGCATCACACAGTAAGTACAGCTGCGGGTCTTCAATCCAGACGGCAAAGTCAATGGCCCTCCCCTCAGCGTCAAAAGTAAGAACATTGGGGGTGGCCATGGCAGCAGCTGAAAGTCTCACCGGGCTAGGAGAGTCGGGTAGGACAGCAGCAGGCAGCTCGGGCTGGGTCGGGCGGCTCGGGCGGCACGGGTACCGGGCGGCTCGGCTGCTGCTGGGCGGCTCGGCTGCTGCTGTGCGGCTCAGCTGCTGCTGGGCGGCTCGGCTGCGGCTGGGCGGCTCGGCTGCTGCTGGGCGGCTCGGCTGCGGCTGGGCGGCTCGGCTGCTGCTGGGCGGCGCGGCTGCTGCTGGGCGGCTCAGCTGCTGCTGGCGGCTCGGCTGCGGCTGGGCGGCTCGGCTGCTGCTGGGCGGCTCGGCGGGGCCGTCAGGGTGCAGCTGCGGGGCCGGGACAGGGGACGGCGGAGCCGTCATGTGGCGGGCCAGCAGGTGAGGTGGCGAGCCGTCGGGTGAGGCGGCGGGGCCGTCAGGTCAGGTGGCGGGCCAGCAGGTGAGGCGGCGGGGCCGTCAGGTCAGGTGGCGGGCCAGCGGGTGAGGCGGCGGGCCGTCAGGTGAGGTGGCGGGCCAGCAGGTCAGGCGGCGGGCCGTCAGGTGAGGCGGCGGGGCCGTCAGGTCAGGTGGCGGGCCAGTAGGTGAGGCGGCGGGCCGTCAAGTGAGGCGGCGGGGCCGTCAGGTAAGGTGGCGGCGGGCCGTCAGGTGAGGCGGCGGGGCCGTCAGGTAAGGTGGCGGGCCAGCAGGTGAGACGGTGGGCCGTCAGGTGAGGCGGCAGGGCCGTCTGGTGAGGTGGCGGGCCAGAAGTCGAGGCGGCGGGCCGTCAGGTGAGGCGGCGGCCGTCAGGTAAGGCGGCTGCGGGGCCGACAGAGGTGCAGCGGGGGGGGGGGGGCCTGCTGCAGCGACGAAGAGGCCGCGCGGCCGTCTGGAGGGCGGCGCGGCGCGGCAGAGCAGAGAGGGCGGCGCGGCGCGGCTGTAAGGGCCGCGCGAAGTGGGGCCTGGGCCGCGCGCGCGAAAAAAAATGAGTCGCCGCGCGCGACTCTCGGGGCGCCACAAGGGCAGCTCGACGCGCACTAGGGGGAGCGCGCCTCGGGGAGAATAGGGCGCGCTCCGGGCAGGAAAAAAAAAATCGTGGGTGGGCCCAAAGAACGGTCCTTAGGAGGGACCCGCTCTATACCATGTGAAACTAACAGAACAGGAATGAATTGACTAAGTCAGAGTTGGGTACAAATACAACCCTAGCAAACTGTACCCCATAAGTGCTACCCCACTATAGCCTACAAACATGCATCAGCCATAATAATCTGACACGGACGCATGCTTGTGTCCGGACGCATGCTTGCGTTCGGACGCATGCTTGTGTCCGGACGCATGCTTGTGTCCCGGTCGCATGCTTGTGCCGGACGCATGCTTGAGTCCGGTCGCATGCTTGTGTCCGGATGCATGCTTGTGTCCGGACGCATGCTTGTGTCCGGACGCATGCTTGTGTCCGGACGCATGCTTATGTCCGAACGCATGCTGTGTCCCGTCGCATGCTTCTGTCCGGACGCATGCTTGTGTCAGGACGCATGCTTGTGTCCCGGACGCATGCTTGAGTCCGGTCGCATGCTTGTGTCCGGACGCATGCTTATGTTCGGACGCATGCTTGTGTCCGGTCGCATGCTTCTGGCCGGACGCATGCTTGTGTCCGGTCGCATGCTTCTGGCCGGACGCATGCTTGTGTCCGGACGCATGCTTGTGTCCAGTCGCATGCTTGTGTCCGGACGCATGCTTGTGTCCGGACGCATGCTTGTGTCCGGACGCATGCTTGAGTCCGGTCGCATGCTTGTGTCCGGATGCATGCTTGTGTCCGACGCATGCTTGTGTCCGGACCCATGCTTGTGTCCGGACGCATGCTTGAGTCCGAACGCATGCTTGTGTCCGGTCGCATGCTTGTGCCGGACGCATGCTTGAATCCGGTCGCATGCTTGTGTCCGGACGCATGCTTGTGTCCGGACGCATGCTTGTGTCCGGACGCATGCTTGTGTCCGGACGCATGCTTATGTCCGGTGCGCATGCTTGTGGTCCCGTCGCATGCTTCTGTCCGGACGCATGCTTGTGTCAGGACGCATGCTTGTGTCCGGACGCATGCTTGAGTCCGGTCGCATGCTTGTGTCCGGACGCATGCTTATGTCCGGACGCATGCTTGTGTCCGGTCGCATGCTTCTGGCCGGACGCATGCTTGTGTCCGGACGCATGCTTGTGTCCGGACGCATGCTTATGTACGGACGCATGCTTGTGTCCCGTCGCATGCTTCTGTCCGGACGCATGCTTGTGTCAGGACGCATGTTTGTGTCCGGACGCATGCTTGAGTCCGGTCGTATGCTTGTGTCCGGACGCATGCTTATGTCCGGACGCATGCTTGTGTCTGGTCGCATGCTTCTGTCCGGACGCATGCTTGTGTCAGGACGCATGCTTGTGTCTGGACGCATGCTTGTGTCCGGGTCGCAGCTTGTGTCCGGACGCATGCTTGTGTCGGTCGCATGCTTGTGTCCGGACGTATGCTTGTGTCCGGAAGCATGCTTGTGTTCCTGTCGCATGCTTCTGTCCGGACGCATGCTTGTGTCAGGACGCATGCTTGTGTCCGGACGCATGCTTGAGTCCGGTCGCATGCTTGTGTTCCGGACGCATGCTTATGTCCGGACGCATGCTTGTGTCCAGTCGCATGCTTCTGGCCGGACGCATGCTTGTGTCCGGACGCATGCTTGTGTCCGGACGCATGCTTGTGTCCGGACGCATGCTTGTGTCCGGACGCATGCTTGTGTCCCGTCGCATGCTTCTGTCCGGACGCATGCTTGTGTCAGGACGCATGCTTGTGTCCGGACGCATGCTTGAGTCCGGTCGCATGCTTGTGTCCGGACGCATGCTTGTGTCCGGACGCATGCTTGTGTCCGGTCGCATGCTTCTGTCCGGACGCATGCTTGTGTCAGGACGCATGCTTGTGTCTGGACGCATGCTTGTGTCCGGTCGCATGCTTGTGTCCGGACGCATGCTTGTGTCCGGTCGCATGCTTGTGTCCGGATGCATGCTTGTGTCCGGACGCATGCTTGTGTCCGGACGCATGCTTGTGTCCGGACGCATGCTTGTGTCCGGACGCATGCTTGTGTCCGGACGCATGCTTGTGTCCGGTCGCATGCTTGTGTCCGGACGCATGCTTGTGTCCGGACGCATGCTTGTGTCCGGACGCATGCTTGAGTCCGGTCGCATGCTTGTGTCCGGACGCATGCTTGTGTCCGAACGCATGCTTGTGTCCGGACGCATGCTTGAGTCCGGTCGCATGCTTGTGTCCGGACGCATGCTTGTGTCCGGACGCATGCTTGTGTCGGGACGCATGCTTGAGTCCGGTCGCATGCTTGAGTCCGGTCGCATGCTTGTGTCCGGGCGCATGCTTGTGTCCGGTCGCATGCTTGTGTCCGGACGCATGCTTGTGTCCGGACGCATGCTTGTGTCCGGTCGCATGCTTGTGTCCGGACGCATGCTTGTGTCCGGACGCATGCTTGAGTCCGGTCGCATGCTTGTGTCCGGACGCATGCTTGTGTCCGGTCGCATGCTTGTGTCCGGACGCATGCTTGTGTCTGGACGCATGCTTGTGTCCGGTCGCATGCTTGTGTCCGGACGCATGCTTGTGTCCGGTCGCATGCTTGTGTCCGGACGCATGCTTGTGTCCGGACGCATGCTTGTGTCCAGTCGCATGCTTGTGTCCGGACGCATGCTTGTGTCCGGACGCATGCTTGTGTCCGGACGCATGCTTGAGTCCGGTCGCATGCTTGTGTCCGGATGCATGCTTGTGTCCGGACGCATGCTTGTGTCCGGACGCATGCTTGTGTCCGGACGCATGCTTGAGTCCGAACGCATGCTTGTGTCCGGACGCATGCTTGTGTCCGGACGCATGCTTGTGTCCGGACGCATGCTTGTGTCTGGACGCATGCTTGTGTCTATTCGCATGCTTGTGTCCGGACGCATGCTTGTGTCCGGACGCATGCTTGTGTCCGGACGCATGCTTGTGCCCGGTCGCATGCTTGTGTCCGGACGCATGCTTGTGTCCGGACGCATGCTTGTGTCCGGACGCATGCTTGAGTCCGGTCGCATGCTTGTGTCCGGACGCATGCTTGTGTCCGGACGCATGCTTGTGTCCGGACGCATGCTTGCGTTCGGACGCATGCTTGTGTCCGGACGCATGCTTGTGTCCGGTCGCATGCTTGTGCCGGACGCATGCTTGAGTCCGGTCGCATGCTTGTGTCCGGATGCATGCTTGTGTCCGGACGCATGCTTGTGTCCGGACGCATGCTTGTGTCCGGACGCATGCTTGTGTCCGGACGCATGCTTGTGTCCGGACGCATGCTTGTGTCCGGACGCATGCTTGTGTCCGGTCGCATGCTTGTGTCCGGACGCATGCTTGTGTCCGGACGCATGCTTGTGTCCGGACGCATGCTTGTGTCCGGTCGCATGCTTGTGTCCAGACGCATGCTTGTGTGCGGACGCATGCTTGAGTCCGGTCGCATGCTTGTGTCCGGACGCATGCTTGTGTCCGGACGCATGCTTGTGTCCGGTCGCATGCTTGTGTCCGGACGCATGCTTGTGTCCGGACGCATGCTTGTGTCCGATCGCATGCTTGTGTCCGGACGCATGCTTGTGTCCGGTCGCATGCTTGTGTCCGGACGCATGCTTGTGTCCGGACGCATGCTTGTGTCCGGTCGCATGCTTGTGTCCGGACGCATGCTTGTGTCCGGACGCATGCTTGTGTCCGGACGCATGCTTGTGTCCGGACGCATGCTTGTGTCCGGACGCATGCTTGTGTCCGGACGCATGCTTGTGTCCGGTCGCATGCTTGTGTCCGGACGCATGCTTGTGTCCGGACGCATGCTTGTGTCCGGTCGCATGCTTGTGTCCGGACGCATGCTTGTGTCCGGTCGCATGCTTGAGTCCGGACGCATGCTTGTGTCCGGACGCATGCTTGTGTCCGGTCGCATGCTTGTGTCCGGACGCATGCTTGTGTCCGGACGCATGCTTGTGTCCGATCGCATGCTTGTGTCCGGACGCATGCTTGTGTCCGGTCGCATGCTTGTGTCCGGACGCATGCTTGTGTCCGGACGCATGCTTGTGTCCGGACGCATGCTTGTGTCCGGACGCATGCTTGTGTCCAGACGCATGCTTGTGTCCGGTCGCATGCTTGTGTCCGGACGCATGCTTGTGTCCGGTCGCATGCTTGTGTCCGGACGCATGCTTGTGTCCGGACGCATGCTTGTGTCCGGACGCATGCTTGTGTCCGGACGCATGCTTGTGTCCGGACGCATGCTTGTGTCCGGACGCATGCTTGTGTCCGGTCGCATGCTTGTGTCCGGACGCATGCTTGTGTCCGGTCGCATGCTTGTGTCCGGTCGCAT